ACTAGCTGTATAAGATTCAAAGTGTTGTAGCCTAAGCCACTTTTGAATAAGTAACTAAAATATGTAACCTCGCACGCAAACGATGGACAAGGATGAACATTTGATATGTAAAATAACTCTTGAGAATAAGGAAAATTGCATTTAATTGTCATAACTTACACTAGATAGTAGAGATATCGATTTCGCCTGGGTGGTACGTACAAAATTGCTTTATTTGGTTGACCAGATGTATTCTTCTTCTTTTGCCTGATGCAGAGGAGCCACTCCCAAGGCTTCGTCCAAGAAAGGTCCCAAATAGATTGCTTCCAGCTCAATGTTGTGCAGAGTTGACCGAATTGTAATTTAAAAGGTCGTTCTGTTCAACCAGTTGCACATGTCTTACGTACTGAATACCTTATCTTTTGTTGTTTGCACTTCCCTCTTATTTATTAATGACATGGTGAAAGGGGCCTTTTTGGTCAGCTACTTCTTCTTTCTCTTTGCCTGCGGTGTCCCTTTATTCTTCATGGAACTTGGCCTGGGACAATATACCGGACTCAGTCCGATACGAGCCTTCAATCTGGCTCCAATTTCAAAAGGTGAGTAGAGACTTTTCTTATTATCTGATTCATGTGTTGTTGGTAAATTACATTGCATCTGTAAGTGCCTAAAAAAAGATTAGTAGATTGAATTCACAAGTAGAGGATGGTTAATTTTTTTCTGAACTTCAGTAATCCAATATTCTCACGAGGTTATCTCAGTTCACGATGCGTTCTACTTCTGTTTAGTGCAAACTTATTTGGGTTTCGTCTATTATACCAATTAAGAGCTGTATTTCCCATATTTCGTATAAAGTTATGAAGGCCTGATAATTGAATTTTCTCATAATCATACGAGGAAGCCTAATTTTTCCATTCAATTCTAAACAGCCTTCCTTCCCAAAGGGTACCCTCATCCAAGTAGGACTTCGAGACTACCAGTATACCTGATATAGGACCTGTATTTATAATATTTAGTTATGATAATTGACTGACTTAATAATGTAGATAAAAAATTAAGTTGAGAACCTTAAAGACTTATATATATATATATATATAAAATTATTGTGTTTTGATGCCATTAGCAGTTCTTGAACAAGCAATGTGATCACCCCCATCACCTACCATCAATTCAGATATGGGAGAGTTCTGGCTTGCACCAAACTCAGTGTCCGCCCTGTGGCCTAATGGCATCGTTACCTGAGTGACGGGGATAAAATATCAAAATATACTCTGTCCTATTAGGGTTTGACTCCTGTTGGGGTTGTGATGAGAGCAGGGCATCGTAAGGCCTACTCATGTCATTGTGGGAAAATTCAATGATTAGCCCTGGACCACCCTATGCGACCTAGGTTGACTAGAACTCTTATGCTATACATACTCTCAATATTGACAAAAAAATTAATAAAACAAATTACTTAACTATTCGAATAAATCTAGGCAAAAGTATATTTAGATATGCGTGGCTACGCTCGCACATGAATATTTTTGGTACGAAGTATGGATAGAATCTGAATGATTAAATCATAAGATAAATCCAGTACAAAAATCAAGGTTTAATCACTATTATTACAAATGTGTGGCTAAATTAATGTTAGAAACCTATATGTAGAGCAATAGTCGGCAAATTCAGAAACATCATTGAGACAGCTAGTTTGGTAGCCCTCATATTGTAATTGGTTTGTTGTTAGACGCAAAATCATTGATACCATCGAACTTAACTGATTAGAGCATGCATTAAACGTAGGAAGAGGGAGTACATTCTTTGCTACTAAGTAAAGATTGAATTTTATCTATAATCACATTAGTTATATGCATCTGTTATTCTAATAAACTAAAAGAGAAGTCAGTCAGAGCCTAGGCAATGATAATCTTTGAGTCGTTAAACTTTGATGAGATAGGATTTGTTTACAGTTTTATTCTGATCACTAGGAGATAGACTTGTGGTTTTGTGCACATTAAAGCATATAGGTAATTAGATTAACAGATGAAGAAACTACTTAAATAAATTTTTATTTCTATTTATTCAATAATTTTTGGTTCCTCTGAGTAAATATATATCATATTAAGAAGATCCAGTGTAATATTTACTTAAAATCTGTCTGACATACTCTTTGAAGTTTTAATAGGTCAAGGGCGGTTATGACCTTGCCTACTTAATAATCATTCTCCCATTTCTCAGTAGGGGGAAACTAAGCAATTGACCAATAATACACAAGTGGATTTTCGAGACTACCAGTAAATCAAATATATGAGATGTGTTCACCCTACTTCGTTTAAGGTGATGAAGGATGGGTAGTTGAATTTTCCCACAATGATATGAGTAGAGCTGATGTTTCCATTGATTTTCACATAGCCTTGCTTTCACAAAAGGTGTTCTTATTCAGGGTGTACCTAAGTTTCGACCTCGCCTAGTCCTTATCAACATACCTCAGCGGGAGTCGAACCATAACAGTGCAGCGTGTAATCTTGACACTCAAACCATGACGCCACATTGTCACGGGTGTCCTTGGGTCACATGGTAGATGGGAAAGTAAGGCAATGCGAAATGCAAAGGAAACGTCATCACTATCCATATCATTGTGGGAAAATTCAACTACCAATCTTTCATTACTTAAACAAAATAGGGTGAATAAATCTCATATATCTTGTTTATTAGTGGTTTGTAAACCTACTCAATAACGAAAGCAGTAATGGCGTCGTTTTCCAAGTGGATAATATGTCGAGCTTACGCGCTGCACTGTCATGGTTCGACTCCAGTCTGGGGTGTTGATAAGACCTAGGTGAGGTCGAAACTGCAGCCAGGTTATGCGAAATTCAATTGAGGCATCAGCTCTGCTCGTATAATTGTGGGAAAATTCAACGTTAAACGAAATAGGGAAAACACATTTCAATAATATATGAGTGTGGAGATGAATACATTAATACCTGGATAGAGTGTTTTTAAGTCAAAAAGCTAGAATGAATTCAAAAGAAGGACTAGAGAGGGTAAATTATGGTTAGCACAAATCTCAGCAACTAATTTAGGCTATTTAAGTTTATATTTCGATAGCAAATCTCGAGTATTAATTTGTTGGTAGGCATTCAGTTAAATAAAATAAAATAGTGTCCTCCATTTAATTTAATTTGAATATCTTAAATAGACTTGCCTTTTTATCCCATTGATACTCCGGTTCTTGATAATTTTGGACA